CCCCCCCCCCCCCCCCCCCCCACGCACGCAGAATGGCGTACGGCCGCACTTCCAGGTGTTCATAGCTGATCCGCTTGGGCAAGTCAGCTCTCCTCTCACACAGAGACCTGATGTGCAAGTGTAACAGGGTGGACCAGGAGATGGGGCACCTCCTGCAGCAGCTGGTCCACCAGTTTTCAAATTTTTTTTTCCTCATGACCCAGTTGAAGAAAATGGTGGATGCCACAAATCGACAATGTGACAGGAATGTGGGCTGTGGGGTGGAGCCGAGGGTGTGAAGGGGGATGTGGGAGGGGGCTCCGGCTTTGTGCGTGTGTGTGGGGAAATTGGGGTGATGTGGGAGGGGCTCCGGGTAACCTGCACAGCGGGGGGTAAGGCAGCTTTCTGCCTCTCTGGGGCCCAAAATCCAGGCTGCGTCCCCGAAGCAGCAGGTTCCCAGCCCATGGGAGTGCGGAGCTAGTGCTCGGGGCAGGGGCAGTGCACTCTTCGCTAAGCACCCACCTGCAAGCCAGGCCTGCTGTGCGGTCTGAGGTGCCAGGACAGGCAGGGAGCTGCCTTATCCCCCACCCCCACTGATCACCTGATCCCCCTGCAGCCACGAGCCCCAGCGCCCCACATTCCACCACCCAGTGCTGGGTTGCAAGCCATAGCTTGAAAACCCCTGCACTCGAAGAGAGCAGCTTGTTACTGCGAACTAGCTTTAATTCAAGCGACAGGGGTGTTTGGTGCCGAAAGTCCCCGTTCAGATCTCGCTAATTATCTATGATGGGATCAGAGGGGTCATTTTTAAAGACTATCCCCACACTGAAGGCCCTGTGGCTAGGAAACTCCTGTCCCAAGAAGTCCCGTTCTCCCTCCTCGCGCGCTCCCGCAAGGTGTAATCTTTTCTTTCTGAAGCAGGTTTTGGAAAGCGACAAACGTTGGCGCCTTTGATCTATCATCGGCATCGCATTAGGCCTGAAGCCACACGGCCTTTATCCCCCCGAGCAGGATGACAGGCGGCTGCTGGTGAAGAAAATCTCCAACGGGAAGGTTCAGAAACATGAATAACTGTAGGGCTGCTGGTAAATCAGCCACGTGACCTTTGGCTCCTGATGCTGTTTTACTTGACAAATGGAGAGATTACGAAGCAGAAAATGACACAGTAAACAAAAGAAAGCCTTCAACGTTATCTCTGTCCACTCATGCGCATGGTAGCTTTGCCCAGCCGCAGAGTACAGCTCACTGAAATGTGTGTTGGCAACAGATGCTAACAGGTCCAGCAGGACTCTCTCCATCCCAGAACTCCCGACCAGAGTGATGTAATGTTTGTGCACTTCTTTCTTCTTCTTAAACCCTTGTACTCCAAGCGGAGCATAGGTCATCTACAAGTCTCCTCCACTTCACTCAGTCTTGAGACAATACTTCGAGCCGACTCCAGGAATACCCCCAGTTGGGCTATGTCTAAACTGCCAGTCTGTTCAAAGACTTCAGTTTCAGTTCTATTTTGGATACGATAACGGGAGGACCTTTGGATTTTGAACCCCACAGAAATCAGAGTCTATTAGTAACAACACTATTAAAATATTCCATATTCTTTGAAAGATCTGTTTACATGACTCCCTGGTGGGTAGACTCAAAATCCAAGTAGTGTTTCTATTCTATTCAGGCTCTTACAATGCACCCATCACAACGGCATCTCAGGCTACAGGTACACTACAGCAGGACTGATGCTCTGAGATCAATCCACCAGCAGTTGATTTAGCAGGTCTAGTGAAGACTCACCAAATCAACCACAGATCCCTCTGCGGTTGACCCCTGTACTCTACCCCTCGAAGAAGAGTAAGGTAAGTCGATGGGAGAGTTTCTTCCATTGACCCCCAGGGATGGAGACCGTGCAGTAACTTCACCTAAGGTACTTCGATCCCAGCTATGTTATTCATGTAGCTGCAGTTGCATATTTTAAGTCAACTTTCTGTGGTAGTGTAGACACAGGCTCAGTAGCTCAGTTGCAGAATTGGCTGTGAATGCATCACAGCGAAGGCCTTTATGCCTATTCTCTCTCTCACACACAGTTCATTTTTAGGGTGAACATGTGCCGAGTAACCCTGGCTAATATGTATTCAGCATATTTTCCTTTTGTTAGATTTATATAATTGTGTTCTGGTTTTGTATTTTTAAGTTTAGTCTCAGCTGAGTTCTAGCTACAGAACATCTTAGGCTTTTACATTAGTGCATATCATTGTTGTATCTGTGTCCTTTTTTTCCTCCCTTTCCCCACAGTGCAATGCACTCACATATTAGAAATGGAGTTTGAAATAGACAGAAATAATAAGATGGACTCATCGGCTGGATGCAATGGTACCAAATGAATTATTTCTTGTATTGCTCTCCACAGAAGTCAGATCCCACAAGCGTTTAAGATGACAAGTATCAGAGGGGTAGCCGTGTTAGTCTGAATCTGCAAAAGCGACGAGGAGTCCTGTGGCACCTTATAGACTAACTGAAGTGTAGGAGCATAAGCTTTCGTGGGCAAAGACCCACTTCGTCAGATGCATGCGTCTGACGAAGTGGGTCTTTGCCCACGAAAGCTTATGCTCCTACACTTCAGTTAGTCTATAAGGTGCCACAGGACTCCTCGTCGCTTTTTAAGATGACAAGTAATGCTGATTTCAACGGGGCTACATGAGTCAAGTCACACCGATGCTTAAGAATAGGGTTTTCGAGTGACACGGGGCTTGATTTCACTGCCGTGCTAAGCTGGCACCACTGCACTGAAGCAGCAGCACTGACATAGCGCCTCTGCTGAAAACCCATTAAGACGACAAGAGAGCTTTTGTTCGTTGATGGAATCAATCCACCTCAATGACAGGCAGAAGTTACGTCACAGGGAGAGTGTCGCCTGCCAACACCGCGCGGTGCAGACACCAATTTTAATCAATTGAAGTGATGTTGCTCAGGGAATAGTCTTTCCATATCCCTGAGTGACATAACTTACATTGATGGAGGCAAAAGAACAGACAAGTCCTACATGAGGTAGAAGCTTAAGCTCTAGGACACCCACGTGATGTGTGCTTCTAACCCCTCCAATGTCGGGTGAGATGGGGCCCTATGTTTGTAGAACCAAAGTTTTTATGGATAAACTGTTGACACATTAAGGGTTTCAACTGGTCTGAAAAATTCAATTGGTGCCAAAGATTAGGAATACCATCCAAGTGGGAAATTCTAATAGAAATAGAGAAATCTTTTAAACCAGTCAAAATTTTTAAGACAATTTCCTAAAGGCGTATCTCTAAAATATGCTGCACAGACTCATCCCAGGGAAGAAATATTTTAAAACAACGTTTTAAATTAAACTAATAAAACAAAACAAAAAGCTTGCATGTGTGCACACCCATAAGCGGTTAAAAATAAGACAGTTCTTTCCTTTATAATGAGGTGAAAAATATGTAGACTTTGTCTGTCCAACAAATACATGGAGAGGGTTTAGAATAATAATTAAAATATATGACTCATGGTGTTCTGCCCCAGGGTTTGTTCTTCAGGAAAAGATTGTAGTGTATTTAAGAGAATTGTCTATGTTAATGATAGCTGATGTCTCATATCCCATAACAGTAGCCGTGACCTTCATACCTGCTGTGATTGACAGCGTGACCCCAATCACTCCAGGGTGCAAGGTAAATGACAACGAAAGGAGAAAAAAAAAAGAGTGACTTGCTGCCGGCTTTGAAGCCAAACTTCCTAACAAAAACTAATTCAAGCTGTCAGGGTGAAATGAAGAAAGTCAACACTGGTTTTCAGAGAAATATTCAGTATGTTTGGCTGGAAAAACACAACAGCTTCACTCCCTTTCGCATTGCCCAAACTCACCGTCCGGGGGGGGGGGGGGGGCCAAAGTGGAAAGGAATTTTAATAACTTGTCCATGGGGAACTCCTGAGATAGTACCAAGAAAGCACTTTTCTTCCATTCTCTGATAACCCTAAGCATCTTGGTAATAGCTTAGAGTGCAAAGCACTTCAAGTTGCACTCCAAGACAAGCGCCACTGGAGGAGTGGAACGAATCGGACGTCTCTGTGAAACAGGCGTATTTTGCAAAAAGAGCAGAGACAAGCTAACTTCAGAAGTCTACATATTTAATGGCAACTCACAGGTTAATACAGTAATTCTTCATTTAACACTATCGATGTGTTTCAGAAAATGATCGTGTTAAGTGAAAACGTGTTATGCGGGGTCAATTTTCCCATTGAAAATAATGGAAAAGGTGGTGTCTGTTGGGACCAGGACATAAGGTTGGGGGAGAAAGGGGACTGGGTTACAGCAGAGAGGGGGAGATGTTTGGCTCTGGGGAAGGGAAAGGGAGGAGAGGGGAGGGGTATTGGGTTGGGAGTATGCCTCTTTGTCAGGTCTGCTGGGACCTGCACTGTGTCCAGCAAGGGGGGGGGACGCTGGGGGATGGCGCGGTGAGCAGCGAACCCTCCGCCACTTTGCAGGGAGGCGGGGGAAGCCCCGCACAGCTGCCAGCAATGGGCTGGCTGGGGAAATAGTCCTATTCCAGGGATGGTCGTGTAATTCAAAAAACGTTCCCTAAAAAAAAATCGTGCTATCGCAAAAACGTGTTAAGCAGGCACGTGTTAAATGAGGAATTACTGTATCTGCAAAGCCCAGCAACAGCGCGATTAAACTCTTGGAGTGACAGAGCGAAGGCATCTGCTGGATCTCAGTTTCCATAGCAGGGCACAGAGAGAACGGTGATTTCTCCAGGCACGAAACCCAGACCAAAAGCAAGAGCTACTGCTTTCCTACAGACTCTGGAAAAGCTTCACATGCAGGCACCCCTATTGTAAAAAGTAAAATGGGGGACCACAGGGGCGATATCCAGTCTTCACTAGTGCTCAGGACTTCACACAGCAAAGGATCAGCTACATCTACAGACATCATAGTACCTCGCTAGCCACGTACTGTACACAAGCATTAGGGAAGAAGTGTCCCTTTCTTGCCCTTCCAGTGAGAATGCATCATTTATGCCTGCATCTTCTGCAAGTTAAATATATTACTGTGCATTAAGCAAGGCCCAATTTATAGTTACAAGGTTGTAGAACGGTTCTCTAGGCTTCGACAGACACAAAAAGACTTGTGCAAACAGCATTAAGGCACCTGGGCAGGCAGGAAGGGTAGTAAAATAAAGACATTTTTTAGGACAGTTTAAATGATAGATTCAAATGTCATTTATTTATAAAAAATGAAAGCACAGCTTGTTTGGGACAAGTCAAGTCTTCCAAAACTATTGTGGAAGTAAACAAGCCTTCACTCTGCCTTTGTGAGCAACAAGTAGTCAGAGACCGTTTATTTGAGCAATATTGCAAGGGAAGACGCTGCTGCTAGGCAGATCGTCAAATACAAAACAATTAGAAGCCAATATATATACTGTCTGTTTGTATATAATAGCAACAAACAATTATTCCCCTTTCCATAACAATTCCCTTCAGACGCCACCTTATCTCAAGGTCTTCACTAGAGTCAGCATTCTATCCTTATCTCAAGCATAAGAGAGACGAGAGGCGAGAAGAGCACATCTCACAGCTCTCACGTTGTTAGGTCTCAGACTTAGCATGAGCTAGGCTAACCAAAAGTTCAAAATGGCTACATGCAAATCCCTTAGCTTCCACATCAGAGCACAAGGCAAACATGTTCTGATCCCATTTGAGTATTCAGCTTAGAGTGCAAGTGATCCAGTTGTTAGAGCAGAGAACTGTAAGGTGGAACTCCTGAGTTGTGTTCCCAGCTCTGGAACGGTAACCTTGAATAACCCTGGGCAAGTTTCTTAATCACTCTGGGCTTAGTTTAGAATTCGCATAAATACCACTTACCTTCCTCGCTGGGGTGTTGCGAGGCTAGAATGGGACACTTCTCCTATTTGATCTAGTTTTTTTCCTCTTCCATTCACCAAAACACTCTACCAATCTAGACACTTGGGTATGTCTCCTCCCTCCAGCAGGTGGAGAACTCTGAATCTCTTTGGCGAGGTCAAATCCTATGTATAAGGTGCTTGCTAGCTCACCAAAGCCAGGTGAAACTAGATGTTCTTCTCTCAGAAGGTTTCAAGTAATTCATAGGAGTTTAGTACCGTTACCAGCTAGAGACATTGCTCTTTAAGATCACGTAATAGACTCCAAAGCTTTTAGCTCTGGAATCTGGACTCTGCCTCCATGATAAGGGAGAAGTGGTGGACGTGGCATACCTAGACTTTAATAAAGCATTTGATATGGTCTCGCATGGCCTTCTTATCAATAAGCTAGGGAAATACAATCTAGATGGGGCTTCTATAAGGTGGGTGCATAACTGGCTTGATAACCATTCTCAGAAAATAGTCATTAATGGTTTACTGTCATGCTGGAAGGGCATAACAAGTAGGGTTCCACAGGGGTGTGTTTTGGGACTTGTTCTGTTCAACTTATTCATCAATGATTTAGATATCACCATAGAAAGTATTAAGTTTGCAGATGATACCAAGTGGGGTGGGGTCGCAAGTACTTTGGAGGATAGGGTCATAATTCAAAATGATCTGGGCAAACCTGAGAAATAGTCTGTGGTAAATAGGATGAACAACAAATGCAAAGTACTCCATGTAGGAAGGAACAATCAGTTTCAAACATACAGAATGGGAAGTGACTGTCTAGGAAGGAGTCCTGCAGAAAGGGATCTAGGGGTCATGGTGGACCACAAGCTAAATAGGAGTCAACAGTGCAACACTGTGGTAAAAAAAGCAAACACGATTCTGGGAGGCATCAACAGGTGTGTTGTGAGCAAGACACGAGAAGTCATTCTTCCGCTCTACTCTGTGCTGATTAGGCCTCAATTGGAGTGTTGTGTCCAGTTCCAGGCACTACATTTCAAGGAAAATGTGCAAAAATCGGAGAAGGTTGTGGAATCTCCATCACTGGATATATTTCAGAGCAGGTCAGAGACACCTGTCACGGATTATCTAGATGGAACTTAGTCCTGCTGTGAGGGCATTGGACTAGACTTTGACCTCTCGAGATCCCTTCCAGTTCTAGTGTTCTATGGTGCTGTCTATGTAAACACTGCTCTAGTTGAACAGGTGTGTCACTAGGGGCCTGGAAAGTGATACCTGATGTTTCCGAGGCCCTTTTTTAGAGCAGACTCTTTTGCTGAGTGGATCTGTTAGCAGGTACCTTTTCCAAAAGGAGAGAAATGAAGTAGCTGCTGGATGGATAGCTTAATTCTGGGAAGAGGAAAGGGTGAGCAAGGGCACATACTGGTATTAAGGGGAGCATGTTACTGCCCTAGGTGGCACAATGAGTGGAAGAGGGGGTGAAAGACTTGCTGCTACTCTCCTCATTGTGCACAGGTGTTGCTGGACCAAAATGGTGGCATACGCTTCTGGTTTTGGTAACACACAGCTTGTCATTACAAGCTTATTTGGAGACCATGGGGGGGGGGGGGGGGGCGGGGAGGGGGACAGAGC